GCCAGGGCTGTGCTGGGGCTTTGCATCTCACCAGGTCTGTCTCTTTCTTCCCGTGGCTTTCCGGGGAATCCCAGCGTCRCTCCTGGGTAGGTGCCAGCTCCGTTCTTGGCTCTGAGCTCGCCCCGTGCCAGGGCAGGGTGCTGGGAGCTGCTCTGTGCCCTGCTGGGACAGGGGGTCACCGAGAGTGACAGGGACCCTCCTGTCCCRCAGGGCACTCGCGTGGCATCCCCGACTCCTTCCTGAACCATGGCCCCTACGACAGCTACGGCTACGGCTCCTTTGGTGAGTGCCACRTGCTGTCCCCTGTCCCTCACCCCCTGCCCATGGACCGTGCCCACCTTCTGCCTGTCCCTGTCCTTGTCCTTGCAGGGAACGGCTCCTCCAGCAGCACCGAGGGCATCACAGACAGCCTGGGCTCGGCAGAAGTCTCCTACACTTTCGTGGGTGAGTCATGGGGTGATCCGTGTGGCCGCAGCCCTGTGGAGTGTCATGCCCGGTGACACCCTGGCACTGTCCCTGTCCATCTCTGGGAAGGGTCCTGGGGCTGCYGGCCCCTCCACGCAGCCCCCAGCGGGGTCTCCATCGCTGCCACGCCCCAGGGAGCCCCACCCCAGTAACTCTGGCTTTCCTTTGAAGGGCAGGAGCAGTTCAAGCGGCGCACGCCCTCCACCCTGATGAGGCCGCTGAGCATTGCCATGGGTACATGCTGCCCCCGGGCAGGGTGGGGCCAATCAGGGCCAAATCTGCCCAGCCCCGAGCTCGTGCTCAGGGCACAGAGTGCTCCCACTCCCCTCCCTTAGAGCAAGGGCAGCACCTGAGGGGCTGCAGGGCAGGACATTGCCCACCTGGCTCCCCGTGGTCCCCAGCGTGGCAGAGCCATGGGGGACAGGCACGGGACAATGCCTGTCCTCGTGGGCACAGCCACCCCCTGTGCCCGGGCAGGGCTGCAGGGAACCAAAGCCTGTCCCCAGGGTGAGTTGGCGAGGAGGCAGCCCAGTGGTTAATTGGGGGTGATTGGGGTTCTGCGGGGTGGGCACTGGGGTGGGCTGGCTCGGGGGCTCTGCTGACAGTCCTGGCTCGGCCACAGGGGAGCGGTCACTGGACAATGTGGCCGGCCGGCCGCGCATGGACTCGCTCAGCTCCGTCGAGGAGGATGACTACGACACGCTGGCTGACATCGACTATGACAAGAATGTCATCCGCACCAAGGTGTGTCCCTGCCCGTCCCCTGGCCTCGCCAGCTGTGCCCCCCTGGCCAGGCCAGCCCTGACCCCCCTCTCCCTGCAGCAATACCTGTGCGTGGCCGACCTGGCGCGCAAGGACAAGCGGGTGCTGCGGAAAAAGTACCAGATCTACTTCTGGTGAGTGGGAGGCACTGGGGAGGGGGGCACCAAGGCGTGTCCCAGCTCGAGGTGCACAGCAGGGACCCCCTGACACCCCACCCTGTCCCAGGAACATCGCCACCATCGCCGTGTTCTACGCCCTCCCTGTGGTCCAGCTCGTCATCACCTACCAGACGGTGAGTGGGGCCAGGGCAGCAGCACGGGGTGCTCCTGGGAGCTGTGGGGGCTGAGGTCCCAAACCCTGCTCCCCAGCATGATGGGGACATCCCTGGGGGTCCCCTTTGTCCCTCACCCCGCCCGTGCCTCCTGCAGGTGGTGAATGTCACCGGGAACCAGGACATCTGCTACTACAACTTCTTGTGCGCCCACCCGCTGGGGAACCTCAGGTGGGTGGGGGTCGGTGGAGGGGGTTTGGGGTCCCCTGTGCCCGGGACTGGGCTGCAGCGGGGCCCTGGGGAGGGGTGGGGGTCCACAGCACCCACAGCCGGCCTGGCCCCTCGCAGCGCCTTCAACAACATCCTCAGCAACCTGGGCTACGTGCTGCTGGGTTTGCTGTTCCTGCTGATCATCCTGCAGCGCGAGATCAACTACAACCGCGCGCTCCTGCGCAACGACGCCCACGCCCTGGTGAGGGACTGGGCTGCCCGGGGGGCTGGAGCTGCCTGGGGGGCTCAGAGCCCCAGGACCCCCCTCCCTCCCTGCCCTCTGCCCCGCAGGAGTGTGGCATCCCCAAGCACTTCGGGCTCTTCTACGCCATGGGCACCGCGCTCATGATGGAGGGGCTGCTCAGCGCCTGCTACCACGTCTGCCCCAACTACACCAACTTCCAGTTCGGTGAGTGCCCCCCTGGCCCCCCACCGTCCACAGCGTGCCCACCCACATCCCTCTCACGGCTGTGTGCCCTCAGACACCTCCTTCATGTACATGATCGCTGGGCTCTGCATGCTGAAGCTCTACCAGAAGCGTCACCCGGACATCAACGCCAGCGCCTACAGCGCCTACGCCTGCCTGGCCCTGGTCATCTTCTTCTCCGTGGTGGGAGTGGTGAGTGTGGTGGGCACCGAGGGAGGGGGGCTGGCTGCCCCCACAGCTCACTGCCCGCTCCCCACTCGCCCCGCAGGTCTTTGGGAAGGGGAACACRGCATTTTGGATCGTCTTCTCCATCATCCACATCGTGGCCACGCTGCTGCTGAGCACCCAGCTGTACTACATGGGGCGCTGGAAGCTGGGTGAGAGGGGGCACCGTCAGCGAGGTGGGGAGGGGGCTGTGTGTGGTGGCCCCGGGGTCACCTCCCGTGTCCCCACAGACTCGGGAATCCTGCGCAGGATCCTGCACGTGCTRTACACGGACTGCGTGCGGCAGTGCAGCGGGCCCATGTACGTGGTGAGTGCTGGCACCCGGCCCCGGCTCTGTGGAGACCCTCCCTGCCCAACASCCCCCCAGAGCTGCTGCCTGCCGCCCCTCACGGCCCCCTCATCCTTTACAGGACCGAATGGTGCTCCTGGTCATGGGAAACATCATCAACTGGTCACTGTGAGTGCAGAGCTGGGCAGTGCCAGATCCCAGCCGGCTGCTCCCCATCCTGCTGCTCCCCATCCCTGATCTGCCCCCACCCCGTTCCCACGGCACTGCCGTCCCTCTGCGGGGTCTGCACTGGGCACAGACAGCTCGTGGCACCTGTGAGCCCGGCAGTTGTGGCACCCCAGAGTCCCCCTGTGCTGCCTGACATGCTCTGGGGACAKTGGGCATGGCAGGGTGACCCCCTGACCCCGCTGCCTGTCCCTGCCCCCCCAGCGCTGCCTACGGCCTCATCGTCCGCCCCAATGACTTCGCCTCCTACCTGCTGGCCATTGGCATCTGCAACCTCCTCCTCTACTTCGCCTTCTACATCATCATGAAGGTGGGAGCCGAGCCCCCGGCCCCCACGGGCCCAGCTGGGCACTGCTGCCAGCTCCTGCCCACACGGTGACCCCGGCTCTTCCCACAGCTCCGCAGCGGCGAGCGCATCAAGCTCATCCCCCTGCTCTGCATCATCAGCACCTCCGTGGTCTGGGGCTTTGCCCTCTTCTTCTTCTTCCAGGGGCTCAGCACSTGGCAGGTGAGCAGGAGGGTGGCACAGGCAGCGGGGTGGGCAGGGTGGCCACGGGCAGGCAGTGACGCTGGCCCTGTGCCCGGCAGAAAACGCCGGCCGAGTCCCGGGAGCACAACCGTGACTGCATCCTGCTCGACTTCTTTGACGACCACGACATCTGGCATTTCCTCTCCTCCATCGCCATGTTCGGCTCCTTCCTGGTGGGTGCTGGCTCCAGGGGCACGGTGCCCKCTGTCCCCAGTTGCCAGCCCAGCAGTGCCCTCTCCCCTCACTCMCCCCCATCGCTCTGCAGGTGCTGCTGACGCTGGACGATGACCTGGACTGTGTCCAGCGGGACAAGATTTACGTCTTCTAGGAGCCTGCGGCCACCCGCTGCCCTGGGACTGTGCCAAACGCCCGGCTGCAGCCCCGGGAGGGGGCACCCACCCCTGGGGAGGGATGTCTGCGCTGCAGGTCCTGCCAGCCACTCCGTCCCCCTCCCCACACAGCCCGGGGGTCCTGGTTTGTCTCCTCCCCATCAGCCGGGTCTCTCCAGGCACTTTGTGCCCATCCCTGGGCCCATCATAGCCAAAAACGGGATTGGGGTGCCACTGGGGTGTTCGTCCTCGGTGGCAAGTGACACTGGAAAAGGTGCTGCTGCTGCTCCGTGTCTGTGTGCCCGTGGGCACGGTGTGGGGATTGGGGTCAGTGCCATGCCAGCTGCCCCRTGACCCCTGAGCACGTGGGTGTGGGTCTCTCTTCAGTGCCTGAGTCGGATGGGTGGGAGCTGGGGGTGCGTGGGGCCAGCACGGTGGTGGCGGTGGCCAGCAAGGCCCCTCTCGTGTCTCAGAGTCCCAGGTGGTCGCAGTGGCCCCATCGCCGCCCCCATCGAGGTGCCACGCTGCCCACGCGTGGATCTGCTGGGAAGGGACTCGCATTAAAGTGTCTGCACTTTGCCTGTGCCTGCTGCCTCCTGCCAGGGCTCCCTGGGGCAGGTGCCACCGTGCCAGCCGGGCTCTGGAGAGCGCCTGTGGGGAGTTTGGGGTGGCCTGTGGGGCACGGGGGTGGGCAGGGATGCCCAGGGTGGTCCCACTTGACGGGCAGCTCTGTTCCCTGCGGGCTGGGCCCCCTGTGGCATCATCACAGCGCGGTGCCAGGGCTGCCGCTGCCCCGCTGTGCCCTGAGCCGCTCCCGCTGGTGCCCGCGGGGCCGAGGGAATCCCGGAATGCTGCGGGATGCTGCAGGATACCCAGGGCTGGGTGCCCGCCCCGGTGTCACCCGAGCCCCCGCAGCATCCCCGCGGTGGGGATGCGGTGAGCGCACGGGAAAACCAGCCATGAAGTCAGGGCAGGAGCCCTCGGCGCTGCCGCCTGGCTATAAAAGGATTTACTCCATCAGCCCCCGGCCCGGTTCCGCCCCGGCCCCGGCCGCGCTGGGGCGGAGGAACGCGGGGAATGCTCGAGCACGGGGCTTTCGTCGCTGCTTTTCGGAGTCTTTCCCCAAATATGGTGCCTGGGATGGAGTCACGGAGCGCTGCGGGGCCGGGCGCCCCGGGAAGGGAGGGTTTGTGGGGGCGGGCTCCGCGCCCCGCTGACATCACCGTCCCGCCGGCCGCCTTTTAGCGCCAGGTCGGGGTCCCCGCGGGGCAGTGCGCTGGTCCCTCGCCGAGCATCGCCCTCGCTCCGTCCGCAGCAGCTTGTAAGTCCCGCCGCGGGGGGGTGGGGGCGGCGGGGAGGGTCCCCCGGGTGGGAACGCCATCCCCCCGGGTTGGGGGTGCTGCTCCCCGTGCCTGGGACAGCGAAGCCGCTGCCGGGACAGCGATCTGCTCCGTGGGTGACGGMGATTCTGCTCCTCCGGGTGGGATGCGGCTCCGCGGGATGGGGATGCTGCTCCTCGGAGCGCACCGCTGCTCTCCGGAGGAGGGTCAGGCTCGGGCTGGGGTCACTGCCGGGCTCCTGTCCCGCTCCTGCCCCTCAGCACCGCGTTCCTCCGGAGCCGGAGGGGCTCAGGGCAGCGATGGAGGGTCAGCTCCAGGCTCAGGGCAGCGATGGAGGGTCAGCTCCAGCCCCCAGCCCCGTTTTTGCCCGTGCTGGGCTGTGACGGGGACGGGCACGGGGCTGGCGGGTCCGGGGGCCGATGACGGGAAATGCTGTGTGGCCCAGGGAGCCACACGGGGGTCTTTGTGTGACCCCTCCGTGCCAGGTCAGAGCAGGGCACGGAGTGGGGTTGGCTGTGGCATCGCTGGATGTGGCCAGCAGTGCTCGGGGGCTGGGAACAGGCTGCTCGTAGGGCTCATGAGGCATCACCCCAAAAATCGCGGGGTCATGGGGCACCCCTGCACTGCTGGGAGCAGGAGGGGTCAGTGCCCTCTTCTGCACTGAGCTGTGCCGGTCTCAGCTCATCCTGGGGTGCCCAGGGGTCAGGATGAGCCCRCTGGAGCCTGGGTGTGGGCGTGGGACATCCCCACGGCTCCTGGAGACACTCGGAGGATTCACGCCAAGCAGGGATCCAGGCAGGGAGGAGCGATKCCAGCTCCACCGAAGGCTTGGCTGCCACTCCCGGAGCCTCTCCCTTCTGGCATCTTCCCTGGCATCCTCCCTGGCACYGTGGGGCCCTGCTACCTGCCATCACTGCCCGCAGCATGTCCTTACWAGGGCACGGGCACGGCTCCCGCTGCTCCCGCCTCACCCGCGCTCCTCCCCGGCACCCGGACCTGCCGTGCCAARGCCACCCCACGGCCACCCTGCCCTGCATGGCATGGCCACCCTGCYGTGCCAWRGCCACCCCRCGGCCACCCTGCCCWGCRTGGCATGGCCACCCTGCYGTGCCAARGCCACCCCGCGGCCACCCTGCCCTGCATGGCATGGCCACCCTGCCGTGCCAWGGCCACCGAACCGTGCTGCAGCCAGCCAGCCTTGGTGTGGTCACCCTGCCACCCGGGTCCTGGCATGGTCACACCAGGGACATCCATGCCAGCCAAGGGACAGGGATGAGGCTGCTCCTGTGYACAGCCTGAGCTGGGGATGAGGCAACGCTGCCAGGACAGTGACTGTCTGTCTGGGCACATTTTGGAGGGCACGATGGTGAATTTTCCATCAAACTCATCTGGATGGAGGTGAAGGCTGTGACCTGGTGAGCGAAGAGCCAGGAGAGGGGCTCGTCACCACTGCAGCAGAGTGGCAGGCAGATGACACGATGGTGGCTGTGGACTGTCTGGATAGGGGACAGTGGCCTGACAGTCCCTGTCGTGACACCAGGTCTCCCAGCACCGCAGCCATGGCAAACAAAGGCCCAGCCTACGGCATGAGCAGGGACGTGCAGTCCAAGATCGAGAAGAAGTACGATGACGAGCTGGAGGACCGGCTGGTGGAGTGGATCGTGGCGCAGTGCGGGGCCGCCGTGGGACGCCCGGAGCGGGGCCGCCTGGGCTTCCAAGTGTGGCTGAAGAACGGAATCGTAAGTGGGGCCGGGGGTGGGCAGGGGAAGCCCCGAGGGCAGAGCAGGGAGCTCCGAGGGCAGAGCAGGGAGCTCCGAGGGCAGAGTAGGGAGCTCTGAGGGCAGAGCAGGGAGCTCCGAGGGCAGAGCAGGGAGCTCCGAGGGCAGAGCAGAGAGCTCTGAAGGCAGCACAGGGAGCTCCGAGGGCAGAGTAGGGAGCTCCGAGGGCAGAGTAGGGAGCTCCGAGGGCAGCACAGGGAGCTCCGAGGGCAGCACAGGGAGCTCCGAGGGCAGAGCAGGGAGCTCCGAGGGCAGAGCAGGGAGCTCCGAGGGCAGCACAGGGAGCTCCGAGGGCAGCGCAGGGAGCTCCGAGGGCAGAGCAGGGAGCTCCGAGGGCAGCACAAGGAGCTCCGAGGGCAGCACAGGGAGCTCCGAGGGCAAAGCAGGGAGCTCCGAGGGCAGAGCAGGGAGCTCCGAGGGCAGCACAGGGAGCTCGGAGGGCAGCACAGGGGAGCTCCGAGGGCACAGCAGCGAACCCAGGCTCCCCTCCGCGCAGGTGCTCAGCAGGCTGGTGAACAGCCTCTACCCCGACGGCTCCAAGCCCGTCAAGATCCCCGACGCGCCGCCCACCATGGTGTTCAAGCAGATGGAGCAGATCGCCCAGTTCCTGAAGGCGGCCGAGGACTACGGAGTGACCAAGACAGACATGTTCCAGACCGTGGATCTGTTCGAAGGTGCGGGAGGGACGGGGTTGGGGGTTCCGGGGATGCCGTGCTGTGCCCTGCCCGTCCTCACGCCCCTCTTCCCTCGGCAGCCAAGGACATGGCAGCGGTGCAGAGGACGCTGATGGCCCTGGGGAGCCTGGCGGTCACCAAGAACGATGGCAACTACCACGGGGACCCCAACTGGTTCATGAAGTAAGTGGGGGTGCGCAGAGCTGGGCGTGGGGACCCTCTCGTCCTGCAGCTGCTCTGATCTGGCTGGAAGCGCCCCGGAGCGCATGAAAGCCGAGCTTTGGGCTGGGGAGGGAGGCGGCTGGGGCATTCCCGGGGTCGGGGAGCGCTCCTGGGCAGCCCGGCAGTGCGGGTACCCCACGGTGTGTCCCCGTGCCCCGCAGGAAAGCGCAGGAGCACAAGCGGGAGTTCACCGAGAGCCAGCTGAAGGAGGGCAAGAACATCATCGGGCTACAGATGGGCACCAACAAGGGAGCGTCACAGGCGGGGATGAGCTACGGCCGGCCCCGGCAGATCATCAGCTAGGCACCCCCGCCGCCCCCAGCCCTGCCCAGCCGGGACCGCGTTCTCCGCTCGCCAGTCCATTGGTATTTATTGAGGAGCATCCAGCCATTCCGCCAGCCCCATGGCCCCGCCGCACGGCGGCCGCACGCGTCCCGCCGCAGCCC